GCCCGCACCTCATCACCGCAATAGGCCACCAACGGCGTGAGTCTCGGGGGACCTCCAGCCCTTCACCTTGACGAGCAAAGCAGAACATGTGCTGGGGGGCAGCGAGCCAGTGACGGGCCAACAAGGCCGCCCACACCCAGACCCCCAGCAACGACGACACGGCCTCCAGAGGGACCCACGGGCGCTGTTCCAGGAAGAGCATGGCCTCGTACAAGGCGGCAGCCTTTCTAGCGGGGAGCCTGAGCCTGCCTGGCGGGGCGCTGTTGGACCTCGCGCCCTACGACCTTGTCCATCTCCCCAGACTCCCTGCGGCCGGTGAGTTTGAAACCGATCTTAACTAGCTCGGCGGCGGCCCGATGCATGCAGTAGTTGGCGGCCTTCTCGGAGCCCACCTGGTCGACCCCATTGGAAACCAAGAGGCCGTCATCGATGTGCAGATAGATTTCATGTTTGTCTAAGTAGGTGGTTTTCATATTGACGCTGCTCTCGCTAAGCACATGGACCACATGGAGTCCTCTCTCTCCCCGCTGGCTGCAGCGTCGGGACCACTGGGACAAACGGGTCGCAGCGAGAGGCTCCATAGCATCGGCAGACGGTTGGCCGCCCCCTCGTCACATGCAAAGGAAATTCCGTATCATGCACGACGCCAGGAAGCGGCTGAGGCAAGAAGGGTAGGTGGCCAGCCGTGTGGTAGCGAAGTCCGTCCTCCTCCCCTCCTGAGATAACCGTCCAATGCTTGCTGATGCTGGCGTTTTCCGTCACAACGGCGCTCACCCTCCCACAGTCCGTCGGCGGTGTTTGACAGTGTCGGGGCTTTCCTGGCCAGCCCACCGAACAGGCACTGGTCAAGGGTCAAGGCTGACTCGCACGGCGCCTGTGCGTTTCTCCATGGCACTCATCGCGGGCGTGCTGTAAATACATCGATATGGGTCTTATCCGGGGCCTCCGGATGCTCATGTATATGTACAGCCCCTCGAGCGGATACTCCCTCGCAGAGGGCCAGGAAGTTGAGAGACACCAGGTTGGAATTCTGGAGTCGGGCCCTCTCGGGCCCTGCGAGCTATCCCTCAGGTCGGCCCCAGGCGTACTTGCCCAGGAACCAGAGCGGCCTAGGCCCCCCTAGAAGCTTGACAAACCGAGCCTTAGACCAAGTAGAACAGGGAGGCTCCACCACGATGGCGTCCACGTAGTCTAACTCGACCAGCCCCCCACAACTTCTGAAAAGGTCTCGGGAAGCGTGGGGCCCCGCAGGGGGTCCCTGGCCAGTTCGCATGAGAGCACCAGGATCTTCAGGTCGTGCTCGTCGGCTAGGGCCTTGGACAACTCCTCAAAATCAACAGGCCGACGCGGGTCCGCGAACGAGCGCATCACCATGAAAACCTTTAGGCCCCCCTTCTTTGGCCTCAAGAGCCTTCTGAACCCAACTGACGGTGAACCCGTCCTCAGGATCCTCGACCTCCTCCTTTGGTTCCCCAGAGACCCGGACATTCTTGGCGTCGGCCCAATCTTTGTCGTTCTTGCCCATCAGTTGGCCACCCTCGTCGACGTCAGAATCCCTCAGAGTCCCCTCTCCACAGACCACAGCTGCGGACCCAAGCCCGACCTACGCAGATCATGTTGATATTCATTCGGATGTGGACGCTGTGGGATCCTCCCATGACCAGGCGACGCCACATAGGGTAAATTCAGTCAGAGGCTCGCGCCTTCTCTCGGATTTCCCATGGCAGCACGTCCCAGATCCCAGATCAAACCGGCGCGGACAGGAGGGACCGTTTGCCAGGCCCACGTCAATTTCGGAACCGCCACGGGTGTGCAGGCGTTGCTCTCGTCAAACGCGGCAGCGCTCAAGAAATCGTCGGGCATGTGCAAACTGGCGAGGGCGGCCCCACCATGGAGGCCATGCTCCACTCTCTTGCGGACGTCCAGGAACGTATAGTTAGAGGCGACCATCATGATGATCTTACGCTGTTTCTTTGGGTTCTTCTTGGGCACCGCAGAGAATCCCGCAATGGCCTTGACCTCTTCCCCGAACCCACACTTCCATAGGTTGGGGGCCAGATCCTCACGTAGAAAGTAGCGTGCATACTCCACCTCAGAACCTCCGACGAAACCGAAACGCTGCTCCAACTCCTGGAAAATCACTTGGCTCTTGGACTCAGGCCCAGCAGCTACATTGGACTCACTAGCGTAGAAGGAGGCCTCCTCGAGGCTCAGAGCGTCCAATCTACAAACTCGTCGGGAATCCAGGGGGTCGTCCACGGCCTCGGCACGCAAACTTCCGTGGGTAGCTTCTTGCTTGGAACTTAGGTGGGACAAGGCCGCATCTTTCACCAGCACATTCACGGCGCGGGCGCCTGTCGGAAAATCCTTCTGGCTCGCCTCGCGAATCCTCGCCGCTCCGCGTAGAGCCAGACGATAGACCCGACTGTGATAGGATTGCATCCCCAAGAGGCGATCAGAGTCTCTGCAGTCCGTGGTGAGCATGCGACAGTCTCCCTTGTGCATTGCATTCAGCGGCTGATACGTACTCATTGGTCAAACGCCACAGGGCTACTTTTTTGAAATAATGCTGGCAGAAATGGCTACGCTCACTCTTGGAGGAAGTCGGCTTCATCACCAGGGAGGGGGATCGGGTTACAGCATGGCGCCAGGCGCCGTGTTCAGCAGATCGTGCAGCCTGTCGGTCTCCTCCACCACTGCTTTGGAAACCCATCGGCCGCGATCGTCATCCCAGCCAGTCACTGCCATTCCAGCTGGGGTCCTCGACGACTGTCACTCCGCCGTCTTCCTGCCCCCCGAGGAGGCCTGCGCGGCCTTCTTGTCGTAGCGATCCTTCTCCTTGCCTTTGCCATCGCCCTTGCCCTTCTTGCGGGCCTTGGCGGCCACTCTCTCGTTGGTGCTCCGCCTTGCTGTGGGACGTGGCGGTCTGGACCAACCAACTCGGCGCCACATCCGTCTGGCTTCCTGGCGGAGCCACTCCCAACGTTTGCAAGGCACCCGTCCGATCTCCAGAGCGACTCTCATACATATACGCAGCCAGCCGCCATGAGGATATCTCCATCGAATCATTAGCACCCAGGAACTTCATCAGGTCATCCTCGGACGTGCAATCCTTGACGGCAAAGTCCCGGAGATCAGCCCACACCGGCGACGAACGATTCCCATCGTAACGTGAGGACGACCAATCTCGAATCGAGGTACACCCTTCTGCTCGCAAAGATCGGTAGATCTCGGCCGCCGCCCGCTGAATGTCTGGAGGGAGCGACGCTCCCCATCTCGTCTCCTGACTGCCCCCCGCCGCCTCCACTGGGCCTCCTGAGACCAGGGGGTCGCCGACGGTGCCACCAGGGGCGGGGGGGCATTCTGCGTCGGGGCGTCCAGCGCCCGCGCCAAGTCTGCCGTCCTGGGGGGCGCGATGGTGCCTCGGCCAACGTGCCCGTAGCCCCGCAGCAACTGGATCACGCTCAGGTCCAGCTCCTCGCGCAGCTCCATCGTGGCGATGTAGGTCCAGAACTTGGCGCCCTAATGCGGGTCCACGGTGGCGGTCCCACTGTAGGCGCGGTCAGGGCTGTGTTGACGGCTTGGGCGCCACGGCATGCCGTGCTGCTGGTCGTCAACGGGCGACGGTGCGGTCCTGCATCGGTGGGGCCCACACTGGCCCAGCCAGCCAGATCGGCTAGGGCTGCTGCTCCCGCCAGTGCGCGCCCCGCGCCCGCGCCTCCTCCAGGGAGGGGGCAGGGGGTCATCGCGGCAGCGGGGATCACGTAGGGCGGGGCACTGGGCGCGGCAGCAGCACCGTCGTCACGTACGACGTCCTCGGGGCCCGAAGCTCGCATAGCCTCCGTCATGGCGGCGAGCTCGGCGCGCAAGGCCTCCATCTCCGCAGACTCGGAGGTGGGCGCAGCACGTCGAGGGCACCGTCCACACCACGAGCTGCCAATGGCTGAGATCCCGGCCGCGAGGCCTACAGCCAGCCCGAGCAGCGCCGTGCGCCACGTCTCGGCAAGGCGCACCATCTGGAAGTCGACTGCAATCACGACCCCGAACATGCCGAAGGCCCGCCAGCGCCGGGACTCTGACAGAGATGTGGAGGGGTCATCGGAGTGGAGTGCCGAGAGTAGGCAGGATAAACCGTAAACCCCCGCGTGTTTGAGCATGCATGTGCGACAACACACATATCCTGCATCATGCTCCCATCCTGCAGCCCCACCGTGCTCACTGAAAACTACCATTCACGAGCCCATTTAACCAAGGAGGATCAACAATTTGTATCTATTGGGGCCCTCTTGGGAGGGCTCTGCTCCCATCCTGCAGCCCCACCGTGCTCACCGAAAACTACCATTCACGAGCTCATGTAACCAAGGAACATCAGCAATTTCTGTCTCTTGAGGCCCTCTTGGGAGGGCTCTTGGAGGCCTCTTGGGGCGTCTTGGAGGCCTCTTGGGCCGTCTTAGGGCCATCTTGGGCGTCTTGGACCGATCGTTCGGCGACTGGGGGGCCCTCTTGGGCCTTCTTGGGAGCCTCTTGGGCTCTGGGGCCATCTTGTGGCCCTCTTGGGGCCCTCTTGGGCCCGAGAAAGTCACGCGAGAAGACGCGACAAGCCCCCGACGAGACGCGCCAAGCCCCGGTAGATTTGGCAATTTGAGGCTCCGGGCCAGGGCCACGTAAAGATTCTTCAGGAGTGAGGATTGAGGCTTAGAGGATTGGGCCCAGGACCTGAGGACACACCCACTCCGTGCCCAGCGGCACGGTGGCGGATCTTGATTTAGGCGCGTGGATTAGCGACGGATCCCGCTTCTGTGTAGAATTGGCGCGATCCATCGCCAAATAAGGCAGCATTGACTCCATGTGTTGGGGGGTACCTTCCCCGATCCGTAGACCTGGCGCCCACGCGCCAGATCCACAGATTCGTCATCCATGTTAGCGTGCGCCCGAATTTGTCACACGCCGCGGTCGGGACGCTGTCGGGACCCCCGCGCCGCCTTGCTCTGCCCCCGCAGGCTCCTCCTGCGCTGCAGGCGGCGGACTTCGCGCGCAGGGGGGGGGGATCGAGGAGGATCGAGGAGGATCGGAGGAGCGTCGAGGTCGAGGAGGAGCATCCTGGGGACCTCCAGAGGCCTCCGGAGGTCTCACGGAGGCTTCCGGAGGTGGAAGAGGAGGATGAGGACGAGGAGGAGCAGGCGCAGGAGCAGGAGCGGCAGGAGGAGGACGCTGCTAGAGACTTTGTTTCTGTCGCAGTGCTGGCAGACGGGGACGCGGACTCGCACACTGGGCACAGGAGGCTCGGGAGGGGGCGGGGGTAGGAGGCCGCCGCGCGGGTGAGGAGGGACGCGGCTGCTGGACGCAGCTCTGGTTGCGCACGCGGCAGGAGTTGCGCCTGGCGGTGTGATCAGCCAGGTGTTGAGAACCACGCAGCTCAGAGGAGGAACAGGTAATACCGATGCCGCTGCCCTTGCCTCGTTTTCGCTTGTTGGGACCTCTTGGGATGCCCTAGTCGCCACCGCTGGATTCGCCTCGGAATTCCAATCAGAACACACCCCTAGGGAGTAGCGGTATTTACGGGCCCGAAGCATCCCTATGCCTAGGATTGGCATCTCCTTATCTCAGGGCCGATCTTAAGGGTTCCCCCAGTTCTTGAAAGCCCATCCCTGAGATTGTCATCGCCTTGGGCTTGTCGATCTTAGGGATAGGGATAAGTTCGAGGCTGGCTGGGTATCGGTATCTTTTGGTTCCCCACTTGCGTGTGTTTGTGGGGCCGAGCGGAGCCGCCTCCGCCATCGAAGCAGATGGATCATTTTGAGGCGCAGGGGAGAGAACGATCAATCAGCTGCACACCAAGCTCTTTGCTATGATTCTTGATGGGGCAGTTGAAGGAACACTTTGCAACAACAACAACGCCCGAACGAGAATGATTCACATCCCGCCTCCCCCCTGGCCTTACCATTGGCAAGCATCGCGTCCACAACCGCTTCAACTTGTCAAATTCCGCCTGCGCGGCACCAAGTCGGCGTGAGAGTTCAGGGCCAATCTCGCCAACGCTCGACATCAAAAGATGCCTAGAGATTGAATGCTCTCTTTCTTCGGCACGCATTACCGTCTGGCCCTGGAGCTTGCGCATTGCATCCAGCGGCTAGAACGTCCAACTTGCGCCCATAGAATTGCAGCCCGTACTGTTCCCCAGGCTTGTAATGCTGCGCATGTATGCCGTCGTTGGGCCATAATTTCTGTAAACGAGCAGCGTGTCGTCGGCGTAAACCAATTCTTGCATTGCCTGGGTGACGGCGAGCGCCCTTGGCTTACACCAGATTGCTGCGCCCTCGGCGCCGAGGTTGATCCCGCGTCCCGGACGCAGAACGTGCGCTCCCAGTAAATCGCCTGAGCCTCCTCCACGAACGTCATCGGCACACCAAACCTGGGAAGAGCTGATGCTGGAGTCGGTGTCGAAAGCTCTCACCCAATCGAGCGCCAGCGAGACGATGAGCACGCCCTTCTCGGCACAAATTCGCTCAACAATTCACCAGACCAGGAAGATGGCGTCCTCGGCGCCGTGCTTGGATTTGAAGCCAAAGTGGGTACGCCAAATGCGGCTCTCGGCCCCGCCCGATTTTATATGCCAAGCAAGATTGAAACAAAAATCTGGTAACCAATTGTTGTCAAGGAAGTTGACTTGTATTTTTCGCATTGGGCCACGTCCCCCTTCTTGAAGATCGTTGCAACCGGCGCCTCGTGCCACTCTGCTGGAACTTCGGCGTCGGTCCAGCACTTGTTGCACACAGCTCGACGAGCCATCCACACTCGGGCGTCCCAGCGCTGCAGATATTCCTTCAAACATCAGGCGGGATGCCGTCTTGCCCAGACGCTATGCCTCGCTGCATCCGAGCAGCTGCCGTGGCGATTTCGTCTTCGGTGATAGGGCCACATGGCACAGCGAGCTTGTCGCCCACGGGTTCCCCGTGGGGCGCTGCGATTGTCGGCCGCGCCGCCCATTGGACTCTGCAAAGGTTTTCTGCCATTGTGTCTGCGCGTTGCTCTCCAAATCGGATAGTCGTCCCTGTTTGGTCGGCGCCACCTCCCTCACCGCGCGGATCGGCGCCCAGTCTCCAGAGGCAAATTGGCTCTCAAGCCATTGCGAACGGTCTCCCCCGACGGAGTCTCGCAAAGCTCGGGGCAGGCGTCGTTCCTCCTGCGTTTCTCCGTGCGCCTCGTGGCGTCCCTCTGGTCTATGAGCTGGAGTTTTCTGTCAGATTTTCACGGTCGCCGCGGTCTCCGCGCGTTGGTCGGGAAGACGCCTCCAACAGAAAATTGACAGGCATTTGTCATGCTCGACGCGAGCTGCTGGACGCTTGCGCCCCCCGTGCTCGCGCCCGCTTAAGCTCAGAGATTGTGCTGGCCACCATTGTTATTCGAAGTGCGTCAAGCAGACGCCTAGGCTCCTGGGGCCGCTTTCTTTGCAAATATCCGAAGCCCTCAGCGTTAATTGCGAAATTGTTTCCTTCAACGGGAGGTGGGCGAGGAGGAGGAGGAGGAGGAGCACGATAATGTGAGGCGATGCAGAAGATGGGAATGAGGGTACTTTCATGCCAGCACCAGGGGGTGGAGGAAGGAGGAGGAGGAGGAGGTGTACCAGAGTTAACCCAGGATCCATCAACGATGCTCATATACGCCCGCCAGTCCCAAGTCCACATGTCTAAAGCTCCCTCAAGCATTCCTTCTCATCGCGGAAAGCGCCCCGTTGAAAGAAGAGTGCCCCGTGGGCTTGGCATCCAGGCGACAACCCCATTTTGAAACATAATCGTTCTTCAACCCTTTAGCTGTTAGAAGTGCAGAGATGCACAAACAGCATGCTGCAGAGCAGGTTCAGCGAGCGGCCCATGTTGAAAAGGAGCAGCCCTCCATTCATGTAGCTGTAGCTGTAGCCCCCCCCCCCTGGGAGCAGTCTTGAAGTAGAGCCTTATTCCGAAAAGGGGCAGCCCTCCATCGGTGCAATTGCTTGGCATATTTAAGACAAATGAGTGGCACTCAGGCGGGAACCGCATTTTGAAACGGCCCGCCTTCAACCCATGTAATTGTTTGAGGCTTTGATGAGAAGTTTACGCGGGGCTAGTGCGATATTCACAGTCTGAAAGTATTCGCTCCCGATTCGTGTGAACGCGGGGAGCTTGTCCGAACAGAACGTGCTTCGCTGAGGAGGGAGCCACATGTTCAAAAGCATTCGCCCTGGACCCGTGTAGGTTTGGGAAACGAAATAGCTCCGTTATCACGGAGGGGGAGGAAGTGTCAGGCGAATCGCACGGCCCGTCTTGCCGACACGTTTGGCGGTGCGGCGAGGAAATTGTTTATGAGGGGGGGATGGTGGAGAAGATTGAAGGGAGCAGGTGGAAGGGGAACAGAGGATGGCCGAGGAAGAGGAGGCTTGTTGCGAACTGTATGCCTCCGCTGGGGAAGGCGAAGATGGTGCCTCGCGACCGCCGGATGGGTTAATCCAGCGCTTCGAGGAGCACGAAGACTCCATCTACAGCTGCTGCTGGAGCCTGGGCGGTGGAAAGAAGCGACAGACAACGCCGCCTCTGCTCGACGGCTACGACTGAGCCAAACGCCTGTCAGGTGAGCGACGTAAGAACACGGGATCGCCTTCACTGACATTGGTGCGTAAGCTGCACGCGTAAGGTCGCGCGCAAACGCCCTCGTCTCCAATGTATCGTGTCGCGCTGGCGGCCCGCGCAAGCCGCCGCGAAAGGTCGTTCTGCCATCTCGTGTAAGGCTCGTTTTTTTTGTCGCTCAGCTGAGTCGGGTGGTCTGGACTGGACTGGATGGGGCCCCAGAAAACCAATCAAGAGAGGGACGAAGCCAAATCCGCACAAAGTCGGTCCCTGGACCCCTCCCGGGGTTACCTGGTGCAGTTTTCCATCCCAGATTCTTTTTTGACGGCCCTGGGGCCCGACAACGGCCCCCGGATGCCGAACAAGGCAACGAAGGTTATCGAACCCAGAGCCTCGAACTTCGCCCCTTTTTTCCTGCTGGCCAGCCCATGCTGGGCCGTTTCAGACCCCCAGCCGCGCCTTTTGCTCCCGGCGGGGGTGGCTGCCCCAGCCGGGGGGCCTCCTCATTGGAGGATCTCCTGTCGGAGGAGGGCCATGTCGAGGCAGGGGCGGGCTTCCCTGGCGTTTTGCGTGTTCTTGTCTCCTTTGGGATGTTCGGAGGGGACTTTGGCTGACCCTGCTGTCCGCGTCTTCTCGAAAACCTGTCTCTTCTTCGGCGGGCGCCGTGACCTCCTGCCTGTCGCTGGCTTCGACCACGCGCCACAGCCGCGCCCTGTGTGCAATGCAGCGACATCGTGGGTTGCAGCCGCACCAGTCACTTCGCCTGCCTGCAGGCTTCTCGTCGCCACGGCTGGATCCGCCTCGGCCAACAGTTCAGGATCCTCCCTGGGAGGGGTCGGGGACCGATTCTAGAGGGATTTGAGCCTGGCTGGAGAGCTTGTCGGCGCGCGGGGCACCACCTCCCAGGTGATTCCCCGCGTGCAGGCTGCGGTCTCCGATGCTCCGATGCCGCCGTCCTCCGTGCGGCGTCGGGCCGGGGAGGAGCGCCACCGACGCATGGGCGTTCGCGTCGGTGTCGTACGACGGCAAGCTCGTGGTGAACAGGAGCGTCCGCCCCCCCTCCCCCTGCATCGAATACGGTTACCTGCGTAAACATAAGCTTTCGAGAGTCCGCACGGATCACTTGGATCTAGAGTGGTCAGAGTGGACGCCCCTGGCGGCGCCTTTGGCGCCCCCCCTGACGCGCTCCGCGCGCCAGGATGGGGAGTCCAGCGCAGATCCAAGAACTCCGCGCGGACCCACGAGGGTTTCTACTTATTGCTTTATCGTCTTCTGATTCAGCCCTCCCTGCCTGGCCAGGCCCCCGGTGGGAATTAGTCGATGGTGACTCAAGCGGACATCTTTGAGGTTAGTTGCTGATGGCCAGGTTTGCTCTGGCTCTGGCCGGTCGGGGGTGACCCGCGAACCCCCCGATTGGTGGCGCGAGGTCTCTCGCGATCGGGAGCGCGGTGAGATCGTGCGAGTGTGGACCATGGCGGGCGTGGTCGGTCAAGGCCCAGGTTGCGCGATGCAGGGATCTCACCGGCGCGAGGTCGACCGAACCGCGGGTGTCCTTGCACAACCCTTGCCCCGTGGGTGTTGCTTGACGGAGGGAGAGCACATGTGGGCGACAGAAATACAAGGTCCAACTACGCTGATATTGGCACGTAAGCTCCCCGCGTAAGGCTGCGCGTCAGTGCCTTCGTCTCCAGTCTGGCGTGCCGCGCTGGCGGCCCACGTAAGCCGCCGCGTAAGGTCGCTGCGCCATCTTGCATAAGACTCGTTTATTTTCGTCGCGCATGTGAAGGCGCAGCAGCGGCAGCAGCGCGGCGGTGAGTGCCGCACTCCGCGGCCGAGCGGCCCTCGAGTCGGCGAGCTGCCCTCGCACGCGCGGCAAGCGGGCGCCGCTCGGGCAGCAGGTGGGCCAGCGGGGTGGCCCGCGCCGCCCGGGCACGCGGGCTCGGGAGCAGGCAGGCGGACGCTCCACGGAGCGCGAACAGCGGCGCCATGGGCAGCGACAGCATTCGCCCTGACGGGCGGCGAGGAGGAGGAGCAGCAGCAGGAGGAGCAGGCAGGCCGAGGCGGAGGCGGAGGTGTGGGGTGTGGGGGGGGGGCCTTGTGTGGTGGCCTGGAGGTTGGCCGTTGGGGCAGCTTGTCGTTCTCGTGTGGCGGGTGGTCGGTGCGCCTGGGTAGGCGCTTTGGGCTCAGACGTCGGGGGGTCGCCGACTGTGTGTCCGCCTGCGCCGATTCCGGCCCGGCTGATCCTTGGCTCGGGATCGGTGTGCGGTCAGTACGGCAGGGAAGTTGGATACACATGACGCGGTTGGCTTGGGCAGGATCTGGATACACATATAGCCAGATGTCTCTCCAGCGATCGGCCCTTGTATGGCCAGGCGCGCTGGCCCTCCACATGTGTTCAAGCGCGTTGCCTCGAGGTCTTCCACATGTGAACCCAGCCATGTGTATCTCCAGTTTCCTTATATTTTTTCTTAGCGTGTCGCGCCGCCAGTTCTGGCCCACCGCGCTTCTCCGCTACAAGTTACGACCTCCAGCGCCCAACAGCTCCACATTACGACCTCCAACCTCTAGCATGCGACTTCACTTCCACCTCCACCAATCGACCTCCAGCGTCCACCAGCTCAGCGCTCCGACCTCCAACCCCTAGCATCCGACTCTCCACTTCCAGCTCCACCGATCGACCTGCAACGTTCACCAGCTCAACATTACGACCTCCAACCTCCAGCATGCGAGTTTCCGCTTCCACCTCCACCGATCGACCTTCCTACCTCCACCAGTTCAGCATTCCAACCTCCAACCTCCAGCATCTGAATTTCCACTTCCCCCTCCACTAATCGACCTCCAGCGTCCACCAGGTCAGCACTCCGATTTGCAATCTCCAGCATCCGACTCTCCACCTCCACATCCACCTATCGACCTCCAGCGATCATCAGCTCAACATTAAGACCTTCAACCTCCAGCATCCGACTCTCCACTTCCAGCTCGACCAATTGACCTCCAGCGTCCACCAGCTCAGCATTCCGACCACCAACGTCTAGCATCCGACTTTCGATCCATCTCCACCTATCGACCTCCAGCGTCCAACAGCCCCGCATTCCGACCTCCAGCATCTAGCATCCGACTCTCCACTCCCACCTCTATTTATCGACTTCCGACGCCCACCAAATCAGCATTCCAACAACCAACCTTTAGCATCCGACTCTCGACTTCTACCTCCACCAATCGACCTCCACCCTCCACCAGCACAACATCCCGACCTCAAATCTCTAGTTTCCGACTTCGGGTTTCCACCGCCAATTGACCTCCAGTTTATGGGCCGTCGGCTGCGCGTGTATCTGCGCCCTGAGTGGTATCTGAAGAATGTGTCAAAGAGCTCGTGAGAACACGATTGATCCTGCGCCCCTGTGCACTGGATTGGAATTCCGAGGCGTTCAACTCGTTCGTGTTTGGCTTGGGTTTCGCGGTTACAGAAAGGACGATGACATCCACGGGATTCTCCGACAGGTTCACGCTACAGACACTACGACTTCAGCGAGTCTACGTCATTACATCGGATTACAACAGAGGAGGCGGAACAATTGGAACATCAACTCGTGAGGTACGCATTATCCTGAGCAAACCTCCGACGCGCGCTGCCTCTCATGCGAGGCCACGGCCTCACCCGCCTCGCCCTCAAGGGGCCCGGGCGCATGCCCGCGCAGGCGATCCCGATCCCGATCCGATCCCGCTACACGTAAGAGTGACATTTCGCAGGGTTGACCTTTGGCGCGGGCACGCTGGGTCCCCAGGTGACTGGGCGCGACGCGATAGCAGCGTCTTGCGCGCTCGGGTCCTGCCGCCCCGCGGCCATCGAACGTGGGCGTGTAGCCGAGCTTCGGCGCGACACGCCGACCACGCCCCAGCCCCATGCGTCAGTCTGCCGAGCCTCTCCGCGCCTCCGCCACGCGATGCGGAGCGACACTCTATCCGCTTGCATGGCACTACGTGTCGCCGGCGCCGCCGCCCCTACAAGCGACGCAAACGCCTCTGACCGCAATTTCTCAAGCAGGGGATCGACAGCAGAATTAATGTGCCTTCGCTTTTCGCCGAATATGCGAAACAAGTAAGTCGAATGATCCGTTGATCTACGACATTATCTCTCTCTATATATATGTGAGTTAGTACGCGTTTTCCACAGGAGGGGAGGCCTTCGGACACTCGTGACCCCCGACAGGTCGCGTCCGCAGCCACCCTTTTTCTGCTCGGGTAGGCCCGCCCGGGCCGCTTTGAGAGACAGTACGTTCTCCCTTGCGCAAGACAAGTTGCACTTCCTATACTCGGTTGTGCGCGACGTGATTGCGCTCAACGCCCCGACGCGGGAGCCGACTTGCCACTGTCATTTCGAAGGGGCCTCTCAGTGTGAGACTGCCTCGGAGGCTGGAGGGCGCCACCACATCGAGCGGATCTTGTCTCGTCAGCTCGAGGGGGCGCGGAAGCAGCTGAGTTCGACCATTCCGATTCATCTGTGTGTGAGCCTTGTGTTCAGTTGGAGCCTGCTGAGTTTCATCGTGGGGCTCTTGATCGGGCGGTGCGCTGGTCGTCGAGTCTCGTCAACTTCCTCCTCGTCATCGGTTTCTGAGCAGGCCTTTCGTGGGCGCAACGGGCCAGTCACGCCATCGTCGTTGCGGCTCGCCGATAAATCATGAGCGCTCTTGATATAAGGGAGAGGCGAGACTTGGTTCGATATGCAGATGACCCGAACTTCACGTGGCATCACAGAATTTTGTTGTTTCGTATCTCGGCTGGCCGTTGGGTCGTCCTCACGCCCACGCACGAGCTGCAGATTTTGGACACGGCGACGGTTCGGTTCGAGCCGCTGGCGAGAGGCCGGCCCATGCCAGACCGCTGTCGCCAGGACTGCTTCCTATTCGATCCAATCCCGGTGCGGGAGCTCGGCGAGGCCATCGCCCGAGCCAAGGTGCTGGCCGACATCGTAGGAGAAGACATCGAGGTGGATGCCGCCGAGATCTGGGTCGTCAGCGACCCGTCGCATCCTCGCTTCGGTGAGCAGGTGGAGCCAGGCATCTTGGACGGCGCTGCGCGGGCCCTGCTGCGGGAGACCACGGGGGTGGTCCAACTGGATGCGAACGACTTGAGCTCGGAGGTTTATGTTTCGAGGGTCAACTCCAACGACCTGGTCGAGTGGAAGAGAAGAGTCGGGGGAGGGGGAGATCTTCGGTTGCTGGGCACTCACCGCACCGCGGGTGACAAGCGCACCCTGCAGGCTAAGGACGCCGTCGGGAAGCTTGAGGAGACCAAGTTCGACGACTGCCCCTTCGATGACCCCCGCGCTGCCAAGGAGTACCTGGATGGCATTCTCGAGACCACCGACGGCTCGTTCGACACCTACCATCAGAACTGGTGCGTGGCGGCGGGAGTCTCGCCGAACAGCGGTATCGCCCATGATCACCGTATCATCCTGGAGGCGCTGCGGTTGGGACTCACGTGCGATCAGATCAACCTGGCAAACTCGGCCATGAGTGAGCAGCTTGTCAGGCGGCTCATCCAGCGTGAGCTCGCCGTGGAGAAGAGCGCCAAACGCCCGGACTACAGCGGGCTCGGCTACATGCTGGCGGGCTCCACCGAGGACAGGGGGAGATTCGCCGTTCCGAGTTGCGCCTTCGCGCGCAAGCAGTCCCGACTGCTACGCGAGGAGAGGCAGGCCGACGAGAAGAGGCGCGGCATGGGCCCCAAGGGGCCCAAGGGCGGCGGCAAGTCTGGCGCCGCCGACTCTGGTCAGAACAACGGGGGCTGAGGCTCCCAAGGGGCGAGTTGCTGGTGAGTACCTGGTCGTCAGCGCTGCCCCTTCTCTTTTACAGGTAGGAGCTTCCGGTCTGTTGCCTCGAGCTCCGAGTTTTGTTCGCCGCGGTCGAGACGATCGCGGTCAGCGGCATGGCGATCCCTTTCCTCTGCCTGTCCGCTCGGCGAAGGGCTCCTCCGGGGGCTCCGGGCGCCGGTGGCGAGGAGTGCGTGGACGTGCAGGACATCAAGACCAGCGTCTTTTGGAG